TATTTAGAATATATAAAGAGCTTTTATAATCCAATAATAAAAGGACAACACAAGGAAAAAATGGGCAGAGAATCTGAATGTTTCTCCAACACAGATGACTGATAAGCACATGAAAAGATGCTCAACGTCATTTGTCATCAGGGAAATGCAAATCTACACCACAGGGAGATGTGTATCATTGTGTAGCCTTCGCTCCTATAAGGATGGCAGTAATCAATCAGATGGGCAAGGTTTGGTGAGGATGTAGAGAAATTAGGACCCCCCATAGATTGTTGGTGGAAATGTAAAATGGTAAAATTTTTTTAGTGGTAAGATGTGATGGTGTCTTGTTTGAGAATTGGAGTGCTGCATGTGCTACTGGGGAAAACAGTGGTAGTTCCTAAAAGTTTAAATACAGAGTTACCATGGGACCCAGCAATTCCACTTCTAGGTATATATCCAAGGGAAGTGAAAACTCATGTCCACACAAAAACTTGAACATGAATGTTCACAGCAGCACTATTTGTAATAGCCAAAAAGTGGAAGCAACCCAAAGGTCCATCAGGTGATGAATGGATAAATGGTATATTCACACAATGGAATCTTATTTGGCAATAAAAAGGAATGAAAAACCAATACAAGCTACATCATGGATAAATTTTGAAGATCTATGTTAGATGAGAGAAGTCAACATGAAAGGTCACAGGTTGAGTGATTCCATTTATGTGACCTGTCCAGAACAGGAAATCTATAGAGACAGGAAGCAGGTTATTGGTTGCCAGAGACTAGGAGGAATGGAGGAGTGACTCCTGATGGGTATGGAGTTTCTTTTTGGTTAATGAAAACATTCTGCTAATTACATAGTGGTGATGGTTGCACACCTTGTGAATATACTAAACATGTATTCATTTTAAAGTGGTAAATTTTATGGTATGTAAATCATATCTCAAAAACCCCACAAAAACAACAAACCCACCACATCACTAAAAAGGGAAAAAAAAAAAAAAAAAAAAAGGAGCCAGTTCATTCCTTCTTCGCATTCAGAATGTATTTTGGCGCCGGGCTGTTTGCAAGGTAGAGTTTTGCAGGGTTACAGTGGACAACCAGTTCCCCCTACCTGGGAATAAAGGTCCCACTGTGTTTGCCGAAGTTGAATGACTCGTCACACATCCACTTACATTCTGGGGCAATTCTGGGTTTTGGAAGCAGTGCTGTCATGGGTTTTGTAAAACTCACAGATTTCCTTTCCCAAGAAAATCTTGTGCATTATTTTTGACTGTCTACTGTCATGGGTTTGCATTCGTATAAAGGATGTATACTTTTATTTTTTTTTAAAGATTTTATTTATTTATTTGACAGAGACACACACAGTAAGAGAGGGAACACAGGCAGGGAGAGTGGGAGAGGGAGAGGCAGGCTCTCCGCCAAGCAGGGAGCCCGATATGGGGCTCGATCCCAGGACCCTGGGATCATGACCTGAGCCAAAGGCAGACGCTTAACGACTGAGCCACCCAGGTGCCCCGGATGTATACTTTTAAAACACATCCAGCTTGCCCCAGAAAAGCCAGTGTTTGGTTTTTCTGACCGCAGAGTACATAGGACATTTTGTCAAATGTCTAGCACCTTTTTTTATTTTTTTAATGGTAAGATGGCATGGTGTCTTGTTTCAGAATTGGAGTGCCACAGCGTGTGTGAATGACAAATAGTTTTACAGTTTTTATTTAGCTTACATGCCGATTTGTGGACCAAGAAAAGGCCGGTAGAGAAGCTCACTTTAGCTTGAGTGAAACAGAAGAGACTCTTGGACAGTGTTCCCACGAGGGTAATTCGTCTAAGTAGTTCTGCTAAAGAAATCCAGGTGATGCAAATTGTCATGGGACTTAAGAAAAAAAGTCTTGGGGCGCCTGGGTGGCTCAGTTGGTTAAACTGCTGCCTTCGGCTCAGGTCATGATCCCAGGGTCCTGGGATCGAGCCCCTGCTCAGCGGAGAGCCTGCTTCTCCCTCTCTCTCTGCCTTCCTCTCTGCCTACTTGTGCTCTCTCTCTCTCTGTGTCAAATAAATAAATAAAATCTTTAAAAAAAAAAAAGTCTTGAAGTGAACCTGTGGTCCCACACGGGCCACGGGAGGTGGGAGGAGTGCCTTCCAGGCAGAAGTTGTGGGTAGGTCCATGTGTACAAGGAGCGCTACACTTTGGGTCCTGTGACCCTGCAGCCCAGCTACATGGGACTGATGAGGGATCAGCGCCTGAGCTAAGGGGAGCCACCGGCAGGCTGGGTATGAAGGACAGCAGGGCCCTGTGATGTGTGTGACGGGGCCCCCTGTACTGGATACTCGCTGGGAGGGGGACTTGGCTGGTAAGTGGAGGATAATAAATATTTATTTAACAGAGAGAGACACAGTAAGTGCCTCTAGAGAAACACGGGAGAGCGGGCAGGTAGCAGAGCCACCAGGGAGCAGAAATCGACACTGTCCCTAATAACAAGAAGCAGTAAAAGTTGAATCAGAGACAAAAGTTGAAAGAGACTTGCTTTAATTCCTCTTGGAGAACTAGAGCTGCCACCTGCCACGGTGGCGCTCGCTCAGCTGCCCCAGGGGCTTCCTTCAGGCTTCCTGGTTCCTCACTTCTCTTTGTGGCTGTCAACGTCCATTGCCTCAGTGCCCTCTTCTTTACTGCCTGAAGGAACCTCGTAGACACTTCTGGGAACTTGCACTTCCGGGTAATGTAAAAACTTTCTAAATATTTGGCCACGAATAGCAAGGCACACCAGTTGCTTTAAAGAGTTCCACATGCCTGGGATGCACTGCTCTTCTCCTACAGATGAAAGGTAGCTAGTTAGCACTGCAAGACTTCGTTCCTCTATTCTTTGGGTCATTCAGTCATCTAACAGGCATGGAAACATTACATGCCTACCATGTGAAAGACACTGTCCTCTGCCTCTCCTCTGTTTTGTTTTGGGCATTTTTTTTCTAATTTATCATGATTCAGAGATGATAGTGCCGTGGTCTTCATTTTTGCTGTCTTCATCAGTGAAGGCTTTGTTTTTTGAGGGGTAGAGGGTACATTCCATTTCTCTGGTAACATTAATGCATTAAGTGGGCACTCTGTAATGCATTTTGCAACATTCTCTCATTCCTTTTAGACATGCTATAAAATTGAAATGATTATTTCCTTTTCGCATGAAGAAAGTGAGGCTTAGGAGCACTAACTAACTTGTCCTGGGTCTCGGAGTCGTCTAGCAGAGCTGGAGCCCAAATCTCTGATGCTAGAGCTCATGCTCTTAACCACTTGGCTGGATATCTGGACTTTCAATTCAGAAAATAAATGAATAATGAACATCAAATTATTTCTTCATCAGAATCCTCCTGGTTCTTTGGGCATAGGGCTATGTGACCTCCACAGAGCCTTTGCTGATCTCTGCCCTTCTCCCCCCACCCATACTTCACTCCAAGCAAAGGAAATATCAGTTTACATCCTCCTGTCCTGAGTTCTGTGGTACTTTTAGCACAGACCGTCAGTCCTCCTCTCTTGGTATCTCCCTGAAGCACTTAGCAGAACATCTTGCATACACAGTTGGTGTTCGATGCATGTTTATAGAAGTATAGAATGAATGAATGAATTTTCTCTAACCTAAGACCCTTTGATAGTTTTATGCTGATCATACTTTTGTGCTTTTAAATAGAAGAAAATACTCTCATATCTTTGGATTTAAAGTTCATTTTTTATAGGGAGCATATCGTTACATCCTATTTTTAATCCAGGCTGACAGTCTTTGCCTTTTAATTGGAATGTTTAGTCCATTTACACTTTTTAAGTTGAAGTATAGTTGTCAACAGTTATGGACTGATATATTAGTTCCAGGTGTACAACATGGTGATTCAACATTTGTACATGTTACATGGTACTTACCACAGTAAATTGCCATCCGTCACCATACAGCGTTACTACAAAATTATTGACTGTATTCTCTATGCTGTACTTTTTCATCCCCAGAACTTACTTTATAACTGGAAGTTTGTATCTTTTTTTTTTAAAGATCTATTTATTTATTAGAGAGACACAGCAAGAGAGGGAACACAAGCAGGGGGAGGGGGAGAGGGAGAAGCAGACTCCCCACTGAGCAGGGAGCCCGATGTGGGGCTCAATCCCAGGACCCCGAGGCCATGGCCCAAGCCGAAGGCAGACGCTCAACAACTGAGCCACCCAGGCACCCCCCCCCCCTTTTTAAATTTAAAATGTCTTTATGGTTTTCTACTCATTTTGATTCAGGTTGCTTTTAGTGCTGCTTCTGTCTGAAGGAGCATCCTTCTGGAAGCTTTGCTTTTCTTCCTTATAGGTTGGCAAAGGACAGCCAACACACAAAACTGCTGTGTTTGTGCATGGCTACAGACGGTGGTGATTTTATAGCACCCTGGGCATTTCACGTCCATGAAGTAGGAATTACAGCACTGCACCAGGCGCTGCTGCGTATGCTTCCGCTTCTCTTCCAGGGAGGGATACAGGAGGTCCTTGCAAGGGGCATGTTCTTGTGGGGAGGTTGTCACTGCTAGGAAGGCCTGAAGTTTGAATCTCTTAGTTCCTTTTTTGTTCTCTTCTGTCCTTTTTAGTTCTATTTTGCCTATCACCCCCACTCTTCTCCCCTCTGGCAACCTCCAACTTGTTCTCTGTATTTATGAGTCTATTTCTGTTTGTTTTGTTTTGTAGATTCTGCTTATAAGTGAAATATGGTATTTGTCTTTTTCTGTCTGACTTAATTTCACTTAGCATAATATTCCCTGGATCCATCCATGTTGTTGTGAATGGCAAGATTTCATTCTTTTTTTATGGCTGAGTAATATTCCACATCTTCTTTATCCATTCATCTATTGCTGGACACTTAGGTTGTTTTCACATCTTAGCTATTGTAGATAGTGCTGCAATAGACATAGGAGTGCATATATCTTTTTGAATTAGTGTTTTTGTTTTCTTTGAGTGAATACCCAATAGTGGAATGGTAGTTCTATTTTTCATTTTTTGAGGAACCTCCATACTGTTTTCCATAGTGGCTGTATCGACTTACTTTCCCATCAACACTAAGTGAGGGTTCCTTTTTCTGCACATCCTTGCCTACACTTATTTCTTGTGTTTTTGGTACTAGCCATTCTGACTGGTGTGAGGGGATATCTCATTGCGGTTTTGATTTGCATTTCCTTGACGATTAGTGATGTTGAGCATCATTTCATGTGTCTGTTGGCCATCTGAATGTCTTCTTTGGAAAATTGTCATTCAGATCCTCTGCCATTTTTTTAATCTAATTTTTTGGAGGGTGATACATGAGTTGAATGTGTTCTTGATATATTTTCGATATTAACCCTTTGTTGGATATACCATTTGCAAATGATATATCATTTAGTAGGTTGCCTTTTCATTTTCTTGATGGTTTCCTTTGCTGTGCAACAGCTTTTTACTTTGGTGTAGTCCCAATAGTTTGTTTTCTTTTGTTTCCCTTGCATAAGGAGACAGATCCAGAAAAATGTTGCTAAGGCCAGTGTCCAAGAGATTAATGACTATGTTTTCCTTTAGGAGTTTTATAGTTTCCAGTCTTAATTCCATTTTGAGTGTACTTTTGTGTACGTGTAAGTTGTATGGTGTAAGAAAGTGGTCTAGTTTTATTTTTTTGCACGTAGCTGTCCGGTTTTCTCAACACCATTTATTGAAGAGACTGTCTTTTCTGCATTGTATATTCTTCCCTCCTTTGTTTTAGATTAATTGACCATATGCAAACATTTCTGGGTTCATTTCTGGGCTACCTACTCTGTTCTGTTGACTTTTATGTCTATTTTGTGCCAGTACCATACTGTTTTGATTACTATAGTTTTATAGTGTAGCTTGAAATCTGGGATGGTGATACCTCCAGCTTTGTTCTTTCTCAAGATTGCTTTGTCTATTCAGTCTTTTTTGGTTCCATACAGATTTTAGTATTCTAGTTCTGTAAAAATACTATTGATATTTTGAAAGGGATTGCATTGGATCTGTAGATTGCTTTGGGTAGTATGGACATCTTAACAATATTAATTCGTCCAGTCCATGAGTGTGGTTATCTTTTCATTTTTTGGTGTTATCTTCAATTTCTTTCAACAGCGTCTTACAGTTTTCAGAGTACAAGTCTTTCACTTTCTTGGTTAAATTTATTCCTGGGTATTTTATTCTTTTTGGTGCAATCATAAATGGGATTGTTTTCTTAATTTCACTTTCTGCTACTTTGTTATTAGTGTTTAGAACTGCAACAGATTTCTGTATGTTAATTTTGTATCCTGCAACTTTACTGAATTCATTTATTATTTCTAATGGTTTTTAATGGGGTCTTTAGGGTTTCCATATGTAGTATCATGTCATCTGCAAAAAGTGAGTTTCACTTCTTCCTTTCCAATTTGAATAGTTTTTATTTCTTGTCTGATTGCTGCCGCTAGGACTTCTAGTTCTGTGTTGAATAAAAATGGCAAGAATGGACATCTTGTCTTGTTCCTGATCTTAGAGGAAAAGCTTTCAGTTTTTTACTGTTGAGTATGATGTTAGCTGTGGGTTTGTCATATATGGCCTTTATTACGTTGAGATATGTTCCCTCTGACCCTTTGTTGAGAGTTTTTTAAATCATGAATGGATGTTGAATTTTGTCAAATGCTTTTGCTGCATCTATTGGGATGATCATATGGTTTTTATCCTTCATTTTGTTAATGTGGTGTATCACATTGATTTATTTGCAGATATTGAACCATTCTTGAATAAATCCCTCTGGAATAAATCCCACTTGATCTTGGTCACTGAACTTTTTAATGTGTTGTTGAATTTGGTTTGCTAATATTTTGTTGAGTATTTTTGTATCTATATTCATCAGGAATATTGGCCTGTCATTTTCTTTTTTTGGTAGTGTCTTTGGTTTTGGTGTTGGGGCAATCTGAACAGAAATCTGTTTAGATTTTTTATCTCTTCCTGATTCAGTCTTGGAAGATTGTATATTTCTAAGAATTTATTTCTTCTAGATCATCCAATTTGTGGTGTATAATTTTTTGTAGTAGTCTTATAATCCTTTTTATTTCTGTGTTATCAGTTTTTTTTTAATTTTATTGATTAGAGAGAGAGAGTGATAGAGAGAGAGCACAAGAAGGGGGGAGGGTCAGAGGGAGAAGCAGACTCCTCGCTGAGCAGGGAACCCGATGCAGGACTCGATCCTGGTACTCCAGGATCGTGACCTGAGCCGAAGGCAGGCGCTCAACCGACTGAGCCACTCAGGCACCCTGTGTTATCCGTTTTAATTTCTCTTTCATTTCTGAGTTTATTCTTTGAGTCCTCACTCTTTTTCTTGATGAGTCTGGCTAAAGGTTTATCAATTTTGTTTATCCTTTAAAGAACCAGCTCTTGGTTCATTTATATCTGCTTGATATTTATTATTTCCTTCCTTTTATTAACTTTGGGCTTTGTTTGTTCCTCTTTTTCTAGTTTCTTTAGGTGTAGGGTTAGATTGAGATTTTTCTTGTTTGTTGAGGTAGGCCTGTATTGCTATAAACTTCTCTCTGAAAACTGCCTTTGCTGCATCCCAAATATTTTGAACTGTTGTGTTTCCATTTTCATTTGTTTCCAGGTATTTTTTTTTATGTTCTTTTTGATTTCTTCATTCACTCATTTGTTGTTTAGTAGCATGTTGTTTAGCCTACATGTGTTTCTGCTTTTTTCTAGTCTATTTTTCTTGTAATCTCTATAGTTTCATACAGTTGTGGTCATAAAAGATATTTGATATGATTCCAGTCTTCTTAAATTTATTGAGACTTATTTTATGACCTAATGTGATCTTTTCTGGATAATGTTCTGTGTGTGCTTGAAAAGAATGTGTATCTTGTTGATTTGGGATGGAATGTTCTGTTTATATCTGTTAAGTCTATCTGGTCTAATGTGTCGTTTAGAGACACTGTTTCCTTATTGATTTTCTGCCTGGATGATCTATCCATTGGTGTAAGTGGGGTGTACCATCAATTTCTCTCTCGCTGTCAATATTTGCTTCATGTATTTAGATACTCCAATATTGGGCATAGATACTTACAATTATTATATCCTCTTGTTGGATTACTTTATCATTATGTAATGCCCTTCTTTGTCTCTTGCTATAGTCTGTTTTAAAGTCTATTTTGTCTGATAAAAGTATTGCTACTCCAGTTTGGGGGGGGGGTTGTTTTTGTTTTTATTTGTTTTTTTTTCCTGCTTTCATTTGCATGGTAAATGTTTTTCCCATCCATTCAGGTCTCAGGTGAGTCTCTTGTAGGCAGCATGTAGATGGGTCTTGTTTCTTTATCCATTCAGTCTTTTGATTGGAGCATTTAGACTGTTTACATCTAAAGTTTTGATAGGCGTGTACTTATTGCCATTTTGTTTATTGTTTTCTGGTTGTTTTTGTAGTTTTTCTCTGTTCCTTCTTCTCTTACTCTCTTCCCTTGTGATTGATGACTTTCTTTGGTGTTATGTTTGGATTCCTTTCTCTTTATTTTTTGTGTATCTAGTACAGATTTTTAGTTTGTGGTAACCATGAGGTTCATATATAATATCCTAAGTATATAGCAATCTGTATTAAGTTGATGGTCATTTAAGTTCAAACACATTCTAAAAGCACTACATTTTTACTTCCCCTGTTTTTATGTATATGATGTCATATACATCTTTCTATTTTGTGAATCTCTTCACTAATGTTTTAGATATAATTGATTTTACTACTTTTGTTTTTTAACCTTTATACTAGCTTTCTAGGTGATTGATCTACTACCTTTACTATATGTTTACTTCCACCCATGAAATTTTTTCCTTTCATAATCATTTTCTAGTTATGTTCTATTCTGCTTAAAGAAATCTTTAATGGCCAGGTTAGTGGTGATGAACTCCTTTAAATTTTGTTTGTCCAGGAAACTCTCTCTCCTTCAATTCTGAATAATAAACTTGCCAAGTAGAGTATTCTTGGTAGAAGGTTTTTTCTATCAGCACTTTGAATATATCATGCCACTTCAATGTTTCTGCTGAAAAATCAGCTGATAGCCTAATGGGATTTCCCTTGTTAGTTACTTTTTGCTTTTCTCTTGCTCCCTTTAAGATTCTCTCTTTGGGGCACCTGGGTGGCTCAGTCGGTTACGTGTCTGCCTTCGGCTTAGGTTATGATCCCAGGGTCCTGGGATCAAGCCCCACAGGGAGCCTGCTTCTCCCTCTCCGCCTCCTCCCCACTTGTGCTCTCTCTCCCAGTCAAATAAATAAAATTAAAAAAAAAAAATTCTCTCTTTAATCTTTGACATTTTAATTATTATGTCTTGGTGTGGACTTCGTTGAATTCATCTTATTTGGGGTTTTCTGGATATCTCTTTCCCCAAATTAGAGACCTTTTCAGCTATTATTTCTTCAAATAAGTTTTCTGCCCCTTTTCTCTTCCTTCTTCTGGGACTCCCATAATGCAAATGTTAATACACTTGAAGTTGCCTCATAGATCCTGTAACCTATTCTCAATTTTTTTTTCACTTAAGATTTTTAATGTTTTCAAAATTAAGATTTTTAATATTATAACAGCTGTATCCCACTTAAAAAAATTTTTTTTTAAAGATTTTATTTATTTGAGAGAGAGAGAATGAGAGCGAGAGAGCACATGAGAGGGGGGAGGGTCAGAGGGAGGAGGGTCAGAGGGAGGAGCAGACTCCCTGCTGAGCAGGGAGCCCGATGCAGGACTCAGTCCCGGGACTCCAGGATCATGACCTGAGCCGAAGGCAGTCACCTAACCAACTGAGCCACCCAGGCACCCACTATATCCCACTTTTAAAAAATTTAAATCGATTAATTAATATATAATGTATTATTAGTTTCAGAGGTAGAGTTCAGTGATTCATCAGTCCTATATAATACCCAGTGCTCATTACATCATGTGCCCTCCTTAATGTCCATCATCCAGTTACCCCATCCCCCCAGCAATCCTCAGTTTGTTTCCTATGATTAAGAGTCTCTTATCGTTTGTCTCTCTGATTTCGTCTTGTTTTATTTTTCCCCCCTTCCCCAGTGATCCTGTTTTATTTCTTAAATTCCACATATGAGTGAGGTCATATGATAATTGTCTTTCTTTGATTGACTTATTTCTCTTAGCATAATATCCTCTAGTTCCATCCATGTCATTCCAAATGGCAAGATTTCATTTTTTTGATGGCTGAGTAGTATTCCATTGTGTGTGTATATACACACAATGGAATGTATACACACACAGTGGAATGTATACACACACACACCACATCTTCTTTATCCATTCATCTGTCGATAACCTATCCTCATTTTTTAAAATTCTTTTTTCTTTTTGCTGTTCAGGGGGTACTTTCCATTATCCTTTCTTCCAGATTGCTGATCCATTCTGTATCTGTATCTGCTAATCTGCTGTTGATGTCTTCTCCTGTATTTTTCATTTCAGTTACTGTATTCTTCAACTCTGGTTGGTTCTTTTTTATGTTTTCTTTCTCTTTGTTGAATTTCTCACTGAGCTCATCCACTCCTGTTTTAGTCTCGTGAGCATGTTTATGACTATTAATCAGGTAGATTGCTTATCTCTGTTTTGTTTAGTTCTTTTTCTGAAGATTTGTTCTTTTGTTTGGAGCATGTTTATATGTCTGCTCATTTTGTTTGATCTTCTGTGTTTGTTTCCATGAATTAGGTGAAACATCTGCCTCTCCCTGTTTGGAAAGAGTAACATTCATGTAGGAACTTATCTGCATAGACTGTGTGTGCCTGGCTGGGTGTAGCTTTAGCTGGCTGACTGGAGCTCTAGTGGGTGCCAACTCGGGGTCCCTGGGTGTTCTCTGCAGGGGGCACCCTGGAAGGGAAAACTGAAGCTGGCACAGGTGAGGGTGGGATGGAGGTCTGGGGTGTGCCATGCTGGGGGCACCTGGTGCTTGAGCAGGCATGGGTTGAGGGGGGCACCTTGGGAATATGGCTAGAGCTGGTATGGGCTGGGGGCCTGAAGCTCACTGAGGCAGTAGGCAGGCTCAAGTGTCTAGCCTCTGCTCCCATCTGTCTACCAAGGTGGAGGGGCAACATAAACGGTGGTGCTTTCCAGCACCTCTGACCCCAGAGAAAATTCTAGCAATTTCCCCACCATTTGTCAGAGGCTCTAGGGTTAGTGAATGGGTTTCCTTCGCCTTTAGTCATTTAAGCCTTTTAAACCACAGCTTTTTTTCTGTGCCCCAGGGCAGGTGAATCTGCACAGGGTCCCTCAATGCTGTTCCTCTCTACTCCAGTCCTCAGTGTCAGGGGAGGCGTGCCTGTTGTTACTGTGTTCCCAGCTCTTGTGCCCTTCTCTGTGTGGTCCCTTTATGTTTTGTTTTGCAGAAGTTGTTGGATCAGCCAGTTCTTCAGGAAGAATTGCTCTATATCTGGGTGTAGAATTGATGTGACTGTGGGAGGACATGAGTTCAAGGTCTTCCTATGTTGCCATCTCAGACCCTCCCCTAGTCTGTTTACGTTTAATGTAATTATTGATATAGTTGGATTTGGTTCTACCATTTTGCTGTTTTCTGTTTGTCTCGTGTATTTTTTGTTTCTCCGTTCTTTCCTGCAACTTATAAACCTTATGATATTGTATAATTTTTGCCTTAGATAGTCTTATGTTTTAAAAATACATAAGCAGCTTTTCATATTTACCCACCTGTTTAGCACTTCAGTGATCTTTATTCCTTCCTGTATGTTTGAGAGTTATCATCTAGTGTTAGTTCCCTTTGGCTTTCAGAATTTCTTTAACATGCATTGTGGTGCAGATCTTTTGGCGATGAATTCTCTCAGCTTTTATGTTTGAAAATATCTTTATTTCACCTTCATTTTTTGAAAGTTAGTTTTGCTGGGATTTAATTCATGGTTGACAGAATTTTTTTCTTCCAGCCCTTTAAGGATATTCCATTGTCTTTTGGCCTCCATTATTTTTGATCAAAAGTTACCTGTCATTAGATATAATATCCTCTATGTAATTTGTCTTTTTTTTTTTCTAGCTGCTCTCAGGATTTTTTCTCTTTGCGTTTGTAGTTTGACTATGATTTGCCTGGGAGCGGTTTCTTATTTAGTCTGCTTGGCATGTATTGAGCTTCTGGGATCTGCAAATTGATGTTTCTTTTCTCCAGTTTTGGGAAGTTTGGGCCATTATTTTTTCAAATACTCTTTGTGACCCATTTTCTCTCTTAAGTTAGATGTTGTTAGACTGCTGGATATTGTCCCACAGTTATCTAGATAAACTCTGTTCAGTTTTTCCTTCAGTTGTTTTTTTCAAATTGTTTAACTTGTGTTTATTTAACTTCAAATGCACTGACTCTTTTTTTCCTGCCTTCTTTTGCTATTAAGACAGTGCAGGGAATTTTTCATTTCATTTCATTACTTTCCGGCTTTAGAATTTCCATTTGGTTTTTTTTTTTAATTTTATTTATTTATTTGAGAGAGAGCACGGTGGGGGGCGGAGAAGGGGCAGAGGGAGATGGAGAAACAGGCTCCCTGCTGAACAGGAAGTCCAATGTGGGGCTTGATCCCAGGACCTCGAGATCATGACCTGAGCTGAAGGCAGTTGCTTAACTGACTGAGCCACCCAGGTGTCCCTGGTTCTTTTTTATAGTTTCTATTTCTCTATTCCCCCTTTGTCTATTCCTTATCTATATATTTTCCTTTAATTCCTTCAAGTGCTGTAAAGTTCCTGTCTGCCGATGGCAACATCTGGGTCATCTTGGCTTTGGTTTCTATACACTACTTTTTTCTTGAGTTTGGGTCATGTTTTCTTGTTTCTTTGCATGTCTAGTGATTTCTGATTTAACAGTAGACATGGTGATGGTACAGTGTGGAGGTTCTGGATTCTGTTACAGTCCTCTGAAGGGCTTTTGTCTTAGCAGGTAGTTAATGTGATGAAATTCAAGTTCCAATTCCTGGGTCCCCTCTACTAGCAGCAGCTGGAATCTCCACTCAGTTCTTTTTGTTTCCAGTTGCTGCTTTTTTTCTTGGGCCCCCTGGGGTCTCCAGCCAAGAATTTGAACATATTTTACTTGCAGATTTGGGGGTTCACCCTCCCCATCCCTTTCAAGGTTCCCCTTATCTTTCTGACTGCTCTGCCAACCCTGCACTTTGCCCACTGCCACAGGGAACTGCGCCCCCTAGAGATGGGGACATGCCCTCAGGCACAACATGCAAATGTATAAGTCTGATCAGGTGCAGTTGCTTTCCTTCCAAGGTCGACTCTTCTCATTTCTGCCTGCTTTTGATCGCTCCCCAGTGCCTTCACATAACTTTTAAGGATTTGGTCAAACTTTGTAATTGTTGTCTGTAGGAGGGTGGTGTGACTAAGCTACTCTGTCATTGGTGGAAGCCAGAAGCCAAGCACATACCTTTTTGGACTTACCTTCACACTTGTCCTCAGCTTTGGGCTCAGCCACTGTGGAGCCTCCTCGGAGCTCCAGCTTCGGCTGAAGAGTAGAGACAATGCAGAGAGCAGCATGGGAATGTCTCAGTCGGCTTGGGGTGCTGTACCAAAGAACCCCAGGCTGGGTGGCTGAAACAACAGACATTTTTTTTTTCTCAGTTCTAGAGACTGGAAATCAAAGATCAAGGTGTTGGCCAAGTTTGGTTTCTCATGAGGCCCCTCTCCTTGGCTTGCACATGGCTACCTTCTCCCTGTGTCCTCATGGGGCTTTTTCTCTGTGTGTATATGTCCCTGGTGTCCCTTCATCTTTCTTATAAGGACACTAGTCCTATTGGATCCGGGCCCCACCGTTATGCCCTCATTTAACCTTAATTAATCTCCTTAAAAGATGCCCTATTTCCAAGCGCAGTCACACTGGAGTTTAGGGCTTCAGGGTATGAATTTTTTGGGCAGACACATAATTTAGTCTGTAGCAGAGCACAATCGAGGCTGGGGGCGGTCTGAGTGCAGGCAGGAGAGGCAGAGCCGTGCTGTGGGGATGGCATCAGGACACATTTACCCAGCCGTCGAGTCACTTACCGTAGACATGCAGGATGCCGCTCTCTTCCAGGGCACGTTGTGAAGGGCTAGTGGTTCAGCGTGAGCAAGACTGGCCCTGCCCTCACGGAGCTCACAGCCGAGGAGGATGGAAAGACACGCCACGGATAGTGAGGTTGCAGACAGACGAGAGAGGCCATGAGGGGTGCCTTGGGAGCACTGACAAAGGGGTCCTCCAACCAGTGTATGGGTCCGGGAAGGCTTCCTCGAGGAGATGGCCTTCCAAATCAGAACCTGAAGTGTGAGTTAGGAGTCAGCTGTGGAAGAAAAGCGCTTCAGGCCAAGCACGGGGATGGGCTGGGGCCGAGGGGGGCTCTGCGCGCTGGAGGGACAGAAAGTCATCTAGCACAGCTGGAGCTGGAGGTGCTGGAGGAGCAGAGTGGTAAGGGAGAAGGCCAGAAAAACCGGTTGGGGCTGGTTTCCATACTGGATTGTGATCTGTTCTCCAGATGGGAGGTTCTTAAAGAGAGTAACGGTCTCCTTCTGCTTAGAGCCCCCTTTCTGGCGCAGTAAGTGCCCGGTGAATGTCGACATGTGCCGCGCGTTATGATTTGGGGGAGGGAGCTGAGGTGGGAGGGTCGGGGGTGCGGGTGACCTTGCCTCCTTGGTAAAGCGGGTGAAGGGCCTGGAGGTTGCCGGCCGTCTCTGGCTGCACCTGCCCCTGGGCTCCGGGTCACCGGTGTGATGTTGTTGTTCAGCCCTGGACAGCGAGTCGGCCTCCAGCAGCATCCGCTTCAGCAAGGCCTGCCTGAAGAACGTCTTCTCCGTCCTGCTCATCTTCATCTACCTGCTGCTCATGGCGGTGGCCGTCTTCCTGGTCTACCAGACCATCACAGACTTCCGTGAGAAGCTCAAGCACCCTGTCATGTCGGTGTCTTACAAGGAGGTGGATCGCTACGACGCCCCAGGTAGAGAGCCTGTCCCGGGCGAGCATCGGGGCCCAGGTCTGGGCCACTGGCTTACAGAGGAGCCCCCGTTGTACTCGCCCACCGTGCTGGGCACCACAGGCAGCCGGAGGAGCCCGGGCACGGCCTGGATGTAGAGGACACACACAGGGAGCTGCTGTCAGTCCCCAGCAGAGCGTGTCCTGTGCCGAGCAGAGGGGTGGACAGGGCCGGGCGTGGTCGCTCGTGACTGGGGTGGGCAAGGAAGGCTTTACACAGAGATAGGATTTGAGCCGGGCTTTGATAGATGAGAAGAGAGTTTTTCTGGGAGGGGGATCAGTGGGAGCAAAGGCGAGTACAGGGAGGCAGAGGGCTTCCCTGGAGAGGATGTGTCTAGCCTGGCTGGAGCTAGTGAGGAAGAGCCGTGGGAGGGACGGGTGGCAGGGGAGGTAAAGCCATCCAGAGGTGGTTGGGGCCCTGCCTGGGGAGCGGGCTCCCTGCCTTTCCTGTCCCAGCGGGAGGCCAGTCCCCGGGGAGGCAGTCACCTCTGCCGTGGAGTGGGGTGTCTGCCTCAGGGCCGTGAGGCTGGCGCCGGGCTCTGGAAGTGTGGGCATGAGCTCTGGGGGCTCGGGCTGTGCCCACCTGCTGTGTGCACCTGCGCTGCCCACAGGATGCCCGACTCACCCTCTGGATGGCCTGGCCACAGGGCAAAGCCAGAGCCTCGGGTGCCGTTTCCCTGGGCTTCTGGAAAGTGTGCAGCTCGCAGCTTCTTCGCCCATCTTTGCCCTGTCTTGTGTTTGTCCCTCTGCTCTGTGGGTCTGCTCTGGTCCCTTAATCTGCGGGTTTTACTTCCTGATCTCTGGGTCTCTCTGAGCTCTGCCTGTGTTTGGGGTCACACACCGCTCTCAGGTTGGACAGCTACCGTCAGTAGAGCCCGGGGTGGGGTGCTCTGGCTGAGGGGAGGGAGGGACTGTCGGGGTGTGACTCGCACACCCGGAGCCCCCGATCAAGCGGGAGGTGAGAGGCATAGTGAGCCGTGGGGAGGCCCACAGCCGGGGGCCTCCCAGTGAATCCGCAGGTGGGTGCGGGCGCCGGCGGTTGGCGTTGCCAGGCTCCGTCACGGAGGCCCCCTCAGGGTGTGCTGAGCAGGGCTGTGAAGTAGGGTGGGTTTTGGTGCAGGCGCCAGAGAGGCCAGGAGAGGGGCTTTCTGGGAAGGGGGACTGTGTCTTCCGTTCGAGTAGGGCTTTCTGAGGGCAGCCCATGTGGCTCCCCACCCCCATAATCCTCTTCTTCTCCCTCCTCTGCCGTCACCTGGGCAGTCTTGAACTTGGGTTGTTGGTGGGTGTGAAAAGGTGTGTGATGTGATTTTAGGGGTGTGGCCGGGGACTGTGACTTCTGACATGCCCTTTTTCCTGTTTGTGCCCCCTAGGGATTGCTCTGTACCCGGGTCAGGCCCAGCTGCTCAGCTGCAAGCACCATTACGAGGTCATTCCGCCTCTGAGGAGCCCTGGCCAGCCAGGCGACATGAACTGCACCACCCAGAGGATCAACTACACAGACCCTTTTTCCAACCAGACCCTGGTAACTCCCGTCCCCCTGTGCCAGGCCTGGGCAGGTGTCAGCCCTGCGCCCTGCGGCCCTCGGTCTTCTTTCTGCCACGAGGCCGCTCACGCTCCCTTTGTGCAGGCCCTCGGCCCCCAGCGACCACGAGGCTGTCCCAGTTGGAGTCATGGCCATGCCTGGCTGGCCTGCGTCAGGAAGGGCTGTGGGGGCTTCCGCATTCTCCGAATGATCCTCAGGGATTCCTGACAGCGAGATAAGATCCTGTCCTTGACGGAAGGACAAAGGGCTGCAGGGTGAGGCCAGTGTGGTGTCGTGGAGGGAGTCCTATATCTGAGTGCCCAACAGAATTGCCACGTGGGGCCAACTGAATCATTCGTTCCTGGGCGCGGGGCCTGGGAATCCGTACTTTGAGATAAATAGGCCAATGTAAAGACGCCGGACTGGCAACGAGGACCCTGGGCCCCGGCGGCACCTGCGCAGGGATTTGAAGGCAGGGAAGGAATTTTATATTTATTTACATCTTCTCTTTTGCACCCTGTGTCCTCGTTTCAGAGAGGATTGCACGGGGCTGAGGACAGGTTTTCTGGTAGAGACGGCAGCATGCTTTGTCTGTGTCTGTGCACAGTTCCGGTAGCTGGGAGTGTCTGGGGGGGCAGGTGCCTTCCCCCCGGCCCCCGCAGCGGCAGGAGGCGAGCTGTGGACGGGGCATGGCCGGAGGAGGAGAGCTCCCGTGGCTCCTCGGGGTGGGTCGAAGGTGGAGGGTCCCGCCGGGATGGTTCTGTTCACATTTACTCTAGGCTTCCTCCTAAGATCCGGCAGAAACTATAAAGTTTCCATGACAGCCCCACAAACCCAGAACAGGTATCACCAGTGGACGAGACATTTTGAACTGGTGTAAACCACAGATTGGGTCAGGTGGACCGAGCAAACAGACCAGAGAAAGCCCACACCCTGAAACAGGCGCAGGAGAGGCTTGGGGGAGGGGAAAGCCCTCCTTCCGGCTCCCAGCTCCCCGTTGGCAGGCTCAGAGGGCAGGGCAGCGGTCGGGGCAGTGGTTGGGACAGTCATCACGGGACAGTCATCACAGGACTGCCGGTTGCTGGTTGGCGGGACCTGCTGTGCCCCCTGCCCTCCCAGGGTGCGCAGAGCCGCTGGGCATAGCGTTTGCTTCTGGGTAAGAACATTCTCTGCGGAGCCTCAGGGGAGATTCCCTGCTTGGGTGCTGGGGCAGCAGAGGGAAACGGAGCAGAACTTGAGCCTGGGCCTCCATGACAGAGTGGGGTGACAGGTACCGGAGAGGAATCTCTTCCCAGGAGAGAAATCCACCAAGTACCCGGCCAGCTGGCATTGCCTGCCCACTGCCACGGAGCGTCAGCCCCGGCGAGCGCCGGCCGTGGGAGAACCCGGTGGGGGGGCACCCGCACCCCAGACCTGTGCTCGTCACCCTGGCCTGACCTTCAGAAGTGGGAATGGAGAATTAAGGCCCATTAGACATTGATGGGAACCAACAGCATAGAAGAGGACTAAGAGGAGCAAACAGAATGGACTCGACAGAATAAGGAAACGGATGCTAATCGAAATGAAAAGGAACCTAATTTTTAGAAACGTTAAGGAAGAGCAGGCGGGGTGTCGGGGTGGCTGGACCCTGGCGCCCCGACTGAGCGGCGCCGCCCGGGAGCCCCTCGTGCTCGTTCCCACACCTGACGGTGCCGGTTGCACTTAGGCAGTAGTTACGTGATTTAAATATGACGAACACCCATGAAATCGGGGCACACAAGGAGGGGTGTCGGCACAGAAACTACGTTGAAGGCCGTTACCGCCTGCAGCCCCGGGTGATGCTTAGTCTCCTCCAGCGGTTCGGGATGTGGCTCCTTGCGGTCCGGCCGTGAACTGGGAGGGGTCTGTCCTCTCTGGACGCCAGTACCCCCACCCAAGCAGCAGGCAGGGGGCGGCGGGGGGGGATCGACAGGGAAGCACAGGAGAGCTCCCGTGCGGAAGGGGGGCCTTGGCGAGCGCACGGCAGCTGGGGGGCGCCGGTGAGGCCCGCTGGGGGCGGCCTGTGGTGCCTGTGCAGGGCCCGAGGGAGCTCCTTGGTCAGAGGCGTCTGTGCGCTCCGTTAGCCCCCTGGCCGATTCGGCCTTGGTGGAGGTCCTCCGTGGCCGTGCCTGGAGTGGACATCGGAAAATATGCCCCCACCTCCCCACACCCCTGCCGCCGAGGCCTTGGAGGTTGGCTTGTCATCTGGCTCCCGCCCCCGCCCCCTTTGTTTGCAGCGCGCCGTCTGGGAAATGGGTGGGCTTCCGGCTGTTCGCATCTTGGCCGGTCTGTGTGCAAGCGGCCCACCGGGGGCCTCCTCTGACCTGCTTCGCCAGACTTCCGGTTCTCGTGTTTCCTCGGCTCCCTCGTGCCCTCAGCGCAGTGCACTTTTACCACAGTTAGGGCCACCGCCGTCCCAGCCTGTAGGAGCCGTTCCGTTCCTCACTGCCTGCCGTGTCCCCGGGGTCCAAATGGTAAGGCCTTGCCCCCTTTCGGTTTGTTCCCGGAGCATTCCAGTTCCAGAAAGTAGCTTGTGTGTTGGGCAGAGACTAGGCCGAGCTGCTGGGCAAAAACACCCCAGACAGACACGGTGGCCGAGACCAGAGAGAAGTCTGGAGCCAGCGGGGCGTGCGGGCGGGGGGCGCCGGGGGCGGTAAGCGATGGCTTCTGTCCGCCGCTCCGCCATCCGCAGGGCAGGCTCTTGGGCCTCATGGGCAGCCCTGGCTCGCCGTGATGGGCACGTGCGGACTCGCCTGAGTCCCTTCTGTGCGCGTTCCAGGAACTTCATCATGTGACGGGGCCAGAATGGAGGCCCCAGCAGGGCGGCCGTGCCCCCGAAATCCGGGATTGGGGTAGCGGTTCTGGTTCTCCAGGAGGAAGTGGATGGTGGGGACAGTTAGCTTTCTCTGCCGCCCCTCGACGTGTCACGGAAAGGTTGAGATTACAATGGACAGAGATCTCTCGGGAAAATGCAACAAGAGGCAGGCGTGAGGGGCGGCTTCGCATCAGTCGAACTGGAATACCAGGTGCAAAGGGCTCCGAGAGGGTTGGTTAATACGGATAAAAAAGAAATATAGGGGGCGCCTGGGTGGCTCAGTCGGTTGAGCGACTGCCTTCGGCTCAGGTCATGATCCTGGAGTCCCGGGATCGAGTCCCGCATCGGGCTCCCTGCTCAGCGGGGAGTCTGCTTCTCCCTCTGACCCTCCTCCCTCTCGTGCTGTCTCTCATTCTCTCTCTCGCAAATAAATAAATAAAATCTTAAAAAAAAAAAAAATATAGGACTCTCCACTAAGATGTAAGAGTCAGAAATCTGTATATGCAAAACAGCGTTCCACTCGTATATTTTAGGCAAAGCCCGTTAGAAATAAAAAATACCCGTCGCCTTAAAGGGTGACTAAATGCGTACTTTGCTCCCTCACGTTCACAGATCAAACAGATGCAAAGGAGTAAGGATAAGAATTGAACCTCACAATTCATGAATTAAGAGCAAGCGTATGTAACACTTTGTGCTTGACGGTGCTCACTCTTCAAATGTCCGTAGAGCATTGATCAAAGTTATTGACGTAAAGATTTTTTTCCCCCAAGTTAATCTATAAACCCAGTGTCATCAGTTAAAAGTCCCAGTTGATTTTTTTCACGGAATTTAACAATCTGGTTTTTAAAAAGTCTTCTTAGAAGAGTGCCTGTACAACGATCAACCCGCCAGGTTTGGGGACGGGGAGCAGCGCCGCAGACCTGCCCGGACAGATGGCAGAACAGTGTAAACCTGGGGCTCAAACCTGCGTCTGTCCCTATTTCATGCCAGATACAAAACTGAAAGCCAGGCATATGAAGTGTCTGAATGTAAAAACGTTTAAAAAGTGTTATAAAATAGGGCGCCTGGGTGGCTCAGTTGGTTAAGCGACTGCCTTCGGCTCAGGTCATGATCCTGGAGTCCCAGGATCGAGTCCTGCATCGGGCTCCCTGCTCGGCAGGGAGTCTGCTTCTCCCTCTCCCACTCCCTGTTTGTGTTCCCTCTCTCGCTGTGTCTTTCTCTGTCAAATAAATAAAATCTTTAAAAAAAAAAAAGTGTTATAAAATATAGGAGAGGGGCTCCTGGGTGACTCAGTCGGTTAAGCATCTGACTCTTGATTTCGGTTCAGGTCACGATCTCAGGGTCGTGACATCAAGCCCCGCATCAGGTTGTGGGCTCAGTGGGGGGTCTGCTTGGGATTCTCTCTTTCCCTCTGTCTCTGCCCCTCCTCCCCCAGCCCCCCCACCCCGTGCGTGCTCTCATGCTCGAACTCTATCTCTAAAAAAACAGAAAAATATAGACCGTTGATGTAATTTTGGTTTTCCTTGGCAAGAAAACCCAGAGCCATAAAGAAAAAGATTTATAGATATCACTGTATTAAATTTAAAGCTTCATGTAACAAATGACATTAGAAAGAAAGTTGATGGAAAAGTGACAGACTGGAAGAAAACATTTGTACATGTAATGGATGTAAGCTAGCATCCTTTTTATTAATTAAGTAAAGCAAGCACGCATCAGCAGGGGGAGGGGCAGAGGAAGAGGGAGAGAATCTCAAGCAGAGTCAGGGATCCTGACTCATGCTCGATCTCATGACTCCGAGGGACCCCGTGGCAGGTCTGAGATCGTGACCTGAGCCAATGTCAAGAGTCAGACGCCCAGCGGACTGGACCATCCAGGCGCCCCACTAGCGTCCCTTCTCAGAGGGCTCCCCTGGCGCAGGCCACCACCGAGAAAAGTGGACGGAGGACAGTTGCTCTCAGCTCTGGTCCGGCTGGTACCCAGAGGGCCGCCCCGCGGGGCTGAGCAGGGGCGAGCACAGACAGCAGCGGGGGTGGCCTGTGGTCATCTGGGGTCCGCCGGGCGAGGGGCTTTCCAGTCACAGTGTCGCGGGGGGTGGGGTGCGGTCAGGAGCATAGCAGCCGCGGCTCCTCCAGGGCTGATCGTGGCCTTTGTGTCTCTGCAGAAATCTGCCCTGATTGTGCAGGGGCCCCGCGAGGTGAAGAAGCGGGAGCTGGTGTTCCTCCAGTTCCGCCTGAATGAGAGTAGCGAGGACTTCAGTGCCATCGATTACCTCCTCTTCTCGTCTTTCCAGGAGTTCCTGCACAGGTGGCCTTTCAAGTCCGCAGCGGGCGGGCCCATCCCGGGGCGGGAGCGGGCACTGCCCAGGGGACTGACCTGGAGCTCAGTGGCTCGGGGACCTGCCTTCACAAAGCGCAGCAGGTCCGGTGTGGGGCGTGTTCGGACTCGCAGGCCGAGGGTCTTGGTCCTGTCACGGCCGGGACCCTGTGTGCCACCCGAGTCGCAGGCCAGGTCTCCCCTGCGGTGTCAGCCCTCAGTGTGTGTTTGCCATGTGTGTTTAATATGGGGATGAAAGTTCCTATCTGCCCGGGGGGGGGGGGGGGAGGCGGTGTGTGGGGGGGGACCCGCCAGCCCCTCTCTGGGGCCCGGAGTGCTTGTTGGCACTGTGAGCGTTTTCTTCACGTGCCCGAGCCGGTGTGACCCCGGCCTCCAGGTCGTGCAGAGCCCGGGGCCCCATTGAAGGGAAGTGGGGTGGCAGTCACCACGGAGGAGAGGGCGCTCCCCTGCCTGAGGCGGTGGGCCACCTCCCCCCGCTCACACACCCCTGCTCCGTCCTTCCGTTTTGGAGCTTGGAGCCTTGGCCGTGGCATCTTCCGCCCCATCTGTCCCCCTGACCTCCCCGCGCAGAGCCACAGGTGTCCCGTGCGGTGACGTCCCCCTCATTGGGCCTCCCAGGAGGAGGCTGGCGGGCGCACCTGCATTCCCGGGGCCAGTGCTCTGGGAGCAGGTGGGAAGGAGGAGGGACTCCCCCACGGGGGGCCGCCTCGCAGTGGGTGACAACTCTTCCTGCGTCTGCAAACCCAGATTGGAGCTTGGAAAGGAAGCAGGAAGTGGGCAGCATCCTGGCGGTGCCAGCCAAGAACCCGGCTCCACGTGGGGGCTGGGGTTCGAGTCTGGCCGAGGTTGAGTCTGCTGTTCTCTGCCTTCCAAGCCCAGACAGGGTGGGCTTCATGCAGGCCTGTGAGAGCGCCTATTCCAGCTGGAAGTTCTCCGGGGGCTTCCGCACGTGGGTCAAGATGTCCCTGGTGAAGACGAAGGAAGAGGACGGGCGGGAGGCGGTGGAGTTCCGGCAGGAGGTAGGTGGCACTGGCTTCGAGGTCTGCCGCTGGCCGCCTCCAGCCTCGACTCGGGGGTGGAGAGCAGCTTTGTGGAAGAGATGACCTCTGGGTGGTCTTCGGAGTGGGAAGGGACCCCGTGGCAGGGGGGATTTGTGTTCCCCAGGCCCTTCCCTGGGCCACTGTCGGTCCTCAGCAAACATGTGGGCCAAGTAGAGCAGGTGACTGGCCCCTCACAGCCCGGGTGCTTGGCCCTCAGAGGCTGCCGGCCGCATGGAAGACGGGTGATGTGCAGGGGGAGGCTAGGTCCGGTGGCCTCTGAAGGTTGTACACGTGAGGATCCGTTGGGATGCGGCGGGGGGGGGATACTAGGTTTCTTCTTGTATTAATTTCTTTATCATCCTTTTTCTATTTCTGAATGTTTTGAAAGGTGTGTCACATTAGAACAGTAATAATAACGTCACATCACTTCTGAAAAAGTCATGTATATGTTGGGTATATGCTCAAAACATGATCCTAACGGGCAGTGCGATTGAAACCTTTCCGCCCCCTGGCCTGGAGCCCCGGGATGCGCCAGGGGTTTCTAGCCACAGTCCCGGCGGTAGATGGGAGAGGCCCCGGGGAAGAGGCCTGGCAGTGGGGATGGAGGGAGAGGGCATCTTGGTTGCCGCAGCAGGGCTGTTTTTGTCAGTTGCCACTGAAAGCAAGGCCGCACCCCTACCTTTGGGACTTCCACCTTGGCCGTGGCCGCGCCCCTGCCCATATCCACACTCGGAGCCAGCCATCCTGTGTATCAGTGGCTGGGTGCCTGCTGAGGCAGCGAGGAGACGGGTCTGTTCTAGAAACCTCTGTTCCTCCCTGGAGACGTTTCACTGGGCTGGACTTCGAGGGGCAGCATCGGGAAGGGTCTGGGTTGGAGTAGAAGGACCGACTCCATCGATGCGGCTGTCACTGGCCAGAAGCCAAGGCCCCTTCCCTGCCCCTGGGTCCTCAGACCACTCCAGATTAGAGACCTTTGGGAAGGGCTTGAAGCCGGTTTTCTTCAAGAGGACAGGCTTTTTTCCTGCCCTGGGATGTGGCAACTCCCCTGGCAATGGATCCTTGAAGTATTCTCGTTTGTCAGATAACTGTCACGTTCTGGATTTTTACTGCACGCTTTTTTCCAAGAACCCCCAGGACCTTCCTCATCTGTCCCCACAGCGGCTGAGAAAAGGGGACTCGATACGTGCACCTTGCAGTTAGGTGCAGCCTCCCGGCTCCCCCGCAGCTCCCCTGTGACTGGAACGCAAAGGGGCCGAAGGCCCAGCGAACCTATGCATTTTAGAATGTTTGTGCCATTCGGTATTGTCTAAATTGGAAGTGTTTTGGTGGGTGACGTGAACTCTTTTGCACAAAGTTTAAAAGTTTTTTTATAGAGTGTTTTAAAGTTTAAAATCCTTAAGGTCTATATTATCTCCTTTGATTCTGACCACCCCTCAGTGGCGTCGGCACTTTGCCAGCTGTGTGGCAAGGGGCTAAGTGAGGCTCAGCTCAGGGCTGGACACGGCCCTTCGGCTGCACCTGGGCTTCTGCCCCTGGAACCTGTTTGCTCTCCATGACACCAGGCAGAGTTTCTAGTAATTGATAACCAGATCTTACCAAGCACGCCTACTAAATATTTACAGGGAATGCTCAGCTGGGTGGGTCTGTGAGGTTGAACTTTGTCCCTATAGACCTGAAGGTTGAAATACTCTGCTTCTAAGATCAAGTATTTTGAAGTTTGAGGTTTCTGTGGCTTCTGATTATGCCTTAACATGATACTCTTGAGTATGGTTTAATCATGAGTCCAGATACATAATGACAGTTTTGGTGATTTCTCCAGAATACCTGCTGTACATCCCAGATCCTATTCATTTCCCCAAAGAGCTGGAAAGCAGGGTAAAGTCTCGGCTTTGGTACAAGTTTCAGGATGTCGTTTATGAGATTTCTGCCTCTTTCCATCCAGAAGATGGTATGAAGAAACCGAGGTCCAAGATCCCTCTAACTACCCTCTCCTTTCCTGCGACCCAGGCTAGGGAGGGGCACAGAGGTGGTGGTAATACTGCTTTCTCTTCTCTGTACCTAGACCAGCGTGGTTAACTACATTGACCAGAGGCCCGCCGCCGAGAAAAGTGCTCAGTTGTTTTTTGTGGTCTTTGAATGGAAAGATCCTTTCATCCAGAAAGTCCAAGATGTGAGTATTACTTCAGGTTACAAGAGCAGACTCCCTGCGTTGAGGTATTTTGACTCATCCTTGCAGGCTGTCCTTGTCTCCTTTCATGGCACAAATTAGTTTGTCATTTCTGACATTCATGTCCTGTGTTAGTTGTGTTTCATTGGCCTTGCCATCACTAGACAGTTGGCCTTGTGAAGTGGGGACTTCATCTTTTGTTCACCATCGTTTATCTGCCGTCTGGCAGAGTGCTCGGTACAGAGTACTTGCTTAGTAGTAATGTTAAGTGAATGAGCAGAGTAGAAAGCATGGATTGCATTGAGCTAATGTCTAGATGACGGCTATTGGAAGCCGTTCTTTTTTCATGGGTCTCTGTTGGGTAATCCTTATTTGTTGTCAGAGCAGAAAGGTACAAATAAAAATTAACAGTGTGTCAATTGATGGCGGGTTCTCAGCCTCAGTCTGGGAGGGGGTTGGGGAAGAATGATGGGACGGCTTTGCTAAAGGAACATTCCAGGGAGACACACCATCCACCAGAGCCAGGCCTCAATCTAATAGTGATTGGCATTTAGATAATCCCATAATCCCAAAGTGTCCTGAAGTCGTGGCTTCGGGGAAGCACCTTCCGTGGCCGAGACCCAGACGTAGAGGGTCCCGTGACACGAGCTGCTCCATAACCCCCCCCATCCCCCTCTCGGGGAGGGAGGTGTGGACCGGCAGGGCCATGTGCACAGGGGCACGTGCAGTGTGCTGAATCCGGGTTCCAGGTGGAAGAATGGACGCCTTCAGCTCGACACGTAAAAGTGCGTGATGAGACATTTTCCACTTAGGCTGTGCTCAGTAGGTGCCCATCGGGCCGGGGAAAGGCCACGCTCGAAAGAGGCCTGCTTTTCTCGAGCGGTCACTCAGCTGCTTCGCAGCCCCGAACAGCGGCGCAGGTGTAACCGTTTTGTGTCTGCGAGCCCTGAGGCTCCAGTTGGCCACGGTCAACCTGCCGAACTGACCTCCCATGCTGGGGACTCAGAAACCAGGGCTGAGATCACCTCGGCCTAGAAGCGTTTAACATTTAGCGAGAGCTGTGAAGGGACTCGTTGCAGACAGTAAGTAGCTGCCGGAGGGCTTTGTGGGGTAAGGGTCTCTGCTGAAGTCGAGAGGGTTTTGGCCCCCGAGGAGCCGTGCAGGGTCAGCGCACTTGGGTAGCAGGAGAGCAGCGCAGGCATCAGAGGGCACAGCCTGGAGGCAGGAGTCCGGGGCGGGCGGCCGTCACTGGACCGGGTGGAGGACAAGTTTGCGTCACTGAGAGATGGGAAGAAGACAAGAGGAACTGACCTGATGCAGTGGGTACAGTTTTGGGGGAAATTTGTCTCAAAGCAAGTTCCCTTACTGTGGATGAGGCCAGAAATGTAAGCTTCAGTACTGAATATCTAATTTGTGCAAGAGCTTTTTTAAGAAACTTTTTTTTTCCCCCCAGGATCCGTTTATGGTAGGAAGGGATTAGTATTTTTCTTCTCAGACTTGAGCTCTGCACCTTCAAGGTGTAGTTGGAACAAAGTATGGTCATGGCAGTTTTAGGAGCCGGGTATTTTTCTTGTCACTCCCATAATTTGGGGTAGGAGGCTCTTGACAATCATGCTGATACGACCTCGGAATCAGAGTTGAAGCAAACTGAGAAGCTTGTGTTTGTTGCTGTTTTCCAGATAATCACCGCCAATCCTTGGAACACAATCGCCCTCCTCTGTGGGGCCTTCTTGGCGTTGTTTAAAGCAGCAGAGTTTGCCAAACTGAGTGTGAAATGGATGATCAAAATTAGGAAGAGATACCTTAAAAAAAGAGGTCAGGCAGCAAACCACATAAGCTGAGGTGGCCTCGTGGTGTTTGTAGAACTGCCCCCGGTGATGGAAGTTCTCGTCACTTCTGTTTTGGTACACGGAGCAACCGGTGGCCCTGTGCTCACTTGAAACGAGCCTCGCTGCGAACAGCAGCCTGCCAGACCGCAGCTTCGACCCTGGCCCCAAAAGAGGATGTTTAGAGCCTAATGGAACAGAGCCAGTGGATAACCTAAAACCTATTTAAGTATTTAAATTATTAACGAACATTTTTGGACAAATGAATAGGGATTGTGGAAGATGGAATTAGATATGTATCAGGTTTTCTGAAGGGTTGTGAAGCTGCCTTTCTTATTTGGTTTGGTGTATAGTTAAGCTCTAACAGGATAATTAAGGCTCTGCATTTCACCTTAGTCTGCCCCCCACCCCACCCCACCCCAGGTTTTTTAAGTGGACAGAAGAGAGCGTGATTTTCTTTTTCCCCAAATCCTGACGATGCAGATGTGCAGGTTATGCGTTGAAGCCTCTGCACCCTGTACCCAAAGGCAGAATCCCTTATGTCTTCGGCATCATCTGCCAGTTACGTTATCTGGCCTCTGACATGCTCTCTCATTTGTTAAATTTTAAAATGGGACTTTTTTAAAGCTACTAGAAACTAGTGCTAAGCTTTCCTGTGGATTGACTAGCCACCTACCTGTCTGGCTAGAATATTTGTTGATGCAGGTGTAAGAGTGCAAAGTGATTAACCTGCAAAAGCACTGGGACATGTACAGAGGAGGTGCCTACTCGGTGTATTTTGATGATTTTATTAACAGGTAAATAAAAGTTAGGTTAATGCAAAAGGAGTCCGTTTGCCAGTATGAATATCTGCTAAATTGGTAGACACCAGTACACTTTCATTCTGTGACCTCCAAATAAGTGGCCACGTGAGCTTGGACTCCCAAGGTGGATGGATCTGGACTCCCGAGGTACGTCATGACTGCGTCCAAGGAAGGGTAGGTGGCCCAGTAAGAGTGACAGAGCTACTCTGTCCTCCGTGTTCTGTTCCTGTCCTACCTACCAAAGCACCCATCTGAGAAAGGGGCACTCAGTGTGACCCTCAAAGCCTTCAGCCTAGCTTTTGACAGAGATGAGTACTCAGTATTTTTTACACAGTAGCAATGGGGTGATTTAAGGTTATGAAAATTGTCTCCAGAGTTTCAAATTATTTACATGCCCTTTGCTTCCAAAGAGGACTTGGTAACACTTCCTGCATTTTATAACCTGGCTTTAGGTAATTTAAAGAGGAAAAACTCAAATGTACAAGTGGGGCATTCTTATCTCATGTCTAACTTAGCAAGACACTGTTACTTGAATTACTAAAGATAAACTTGTGCAAAGAAATATTCCCTGGTACTCTGCTATGCCACAGAAGCATGCACATTCAAACATGAGCCTAGATCTTGTCTTTCTGTAAAGTCTTTTCGGTAAGGCAAATGCAAAGCCAGGCGTAGCGTAGCTTACCTTAACAATACTGGAAAACGCGTGTCTGTGTGTGTGTTAAAATCTCTCTGAAGATGACACACCACTTTAGTATTAACTATCTAATAAAATTTGCTCATATAAACATACTAAAACTGCACTTCCTGTATTGTGGAAAGTTGAGAGACATCTTACATGTGCTTTAAAATAAGTAGTTAGGAAGTGAGCATTTTTAAGCTTGTCAAAAAAACTTTACAGCTGCAGCCTGCCCGAATCCACTGTGGCTGTTCAGCGAAAGAAATATATAAACCTTCCACTACCAGACAGTTAGACCTAACCTTTACTTTCTGGAAAGGTAGGGCTGGCCTTTCAGTCTGTGTTCTGTAGTAGGATCACCCTTGCCTTCCTGTGCTGCCCCCAGCTGTCAGTAACACTGGCTGGCCTTGGGTTAGTGCGGAGGTTTTGGCAAAAGCATGTTGATCTGGGTGGCCGGGGTAAGGTGGCTATTTGAGACACTAAAATATGAGCCATGTACCGAAAGGAAGAGTTTCTCCTGGGGCCGCAGCGAGTGAAAGGAGTTGCTTTTACAGTGACCTAGGAATCGTGTGCAGGACCCAGGCTAGAGTTCCTCATGAATGCAAAAGAGTGGGAAGTTTACAATAATGTCTAATTTCTGACTCTGCCATAATTTCTCTGGACCTCACCCAGGGAAGTGTTTATTATAGATTTTGAGATTTTTAATTCCAACTGACATTTAAGATAATTTGAATCTATTCTCTGAACACAGACATGAAGGAAGATGAAAGGATATCCTGAAACTTGGAATTTTATACAGGTATTCTGTAAAACAGATGTACTCTGGTAAGTGGCTGCAGCGGTCATGTATGGCTTTATGAATATAAGGGAGAGCAGGCTGCGTCTGGACGCCTCAGCTTAGAGCTGGAAAAAGCAAACACAACATAGGCCAAATACAAACATAGACTTTATTAAATGCTGCTCAATCCCCCAATGAAGATCTTTCATTACAAAACAGTTTTCCACGCAACTGCAAGAGATTGGAATGGTACTCAAAAGATGTGAGAAATACTTGACCAAGTGAAAACATACAAGACCTCTCTACAGTCAAGAACTCTACAGGGGAGAAGCCTACTGCATTTCCTTTAAATAAAGCCAGGCAGTGACAGTGAGCGTTCTGCGTCACCACATTGTGGGACTCAAAGCCTCCTTCCCTGGGTCAGGAGGGACTGGAGGAAGGGCAGGTTGTGAGGACTGGAAAGGTCCTGCCTTCAGCCTTTGGGAGGAAGAGGAGGAATGAACTGAGAGGCGGGCTCAGTGTTCACCTGCGCTGCCTCTATGAATCTGGGCTCATCGCTCTGGGGAGTTGCAGATGAGAGGGGGGTATTCATGAGGAGCAATATAAAGAATTTGGTTTACTTTCCCAGCTTTTATTTATATTTTGTGCTTTAAAAAGTCTGGAGATTTAAGTTTCTGTTCAAATTCCAGAGTGCAGTAAATACCTCTAATGAAGGAAGGCTTAGGGCAGGTAACTCCCCCCCATCATATTTCTGGGAGCAACAAAGGGAAGAGTAAGGATTACACCTTAGTTTTATTTTAGGAAATGTTCTTTTTCCCAGGATGTAACTAAGGTCTGCAGCAATGTGAAAAGCACATTATAAAAGGGAAAACTATACAGAGCAGACTACTATATCTATGTGCAACACAATCAAAAAAAAAAAATTCAAGTCATAATTCTTACCACTCCCATAATTATCTCACTCATATCATAGAGGATAAAGTTCATTCATTTCTGTGAAACTTTAGAAGTGACACAATAAATCCCATGATTAGACAAAGGTTACAATATACTGTGTCCATGATACAGCACAGGGCTATGTTTAGTCCATATTTTTCATTTACAGTTGCCAGAAAAAAAGTTGGCCTTTTAATTATACTGAGAGGTTTGTTTCATAATTTTTACATATTTCAAAAAAGTGTACAAAACTGCCTATCCAACAGAGGTGGTGGGCTTTTTTTATTCATCACTTGTATTGCTGAGAATACTGTGCATGTTGTAAGCACTGTTCTGCTTTTCCAGAGCTTTCTTTAGCTTTAGCTCCTCTAATTTTTTCCATAATTCTTCACGTTCCAATTCCTTCTTTTTCTCTCTGTAGATAAACCAAAATTTTTGTAGTCAGAAACCTCTAATTTAGAGCCTGAAGAAACTTGCTATTTGGCAGTGTGCTGGGGAACATACTGTTCACCCACATTTCACTTCAATCCCTTTACTAAAGCATTTGAGGCCAATTACCTGGAGCACCTAATTATTCTGTGTCACTGTCCTGAGTGATTACTGCCCCTGTGCATCTCCCATACCAACTCAGAGATACTCCTTGCTTTCCCCTACATATTCCCACATCCACGACCGCTATTGTCATTTGTGCTTTATTACATTCACTTTCTCACCTAACCCTCTTACAGCCAGGAGAGCTGTGATGGTCGTCCTCTTATGGAGACTGAAGGGTGGCTACGAGGTCAGCCTGGAGCCACTTCCGGGTGAAATCATCTTTCTAGCCACTAACTAGTTTGTATCTTTGATGTCAAATGAAAACTGAAGTTTGAAAAGGAAAAAAAAATTCAAAATATTTTTTGTTTCAACCATTTAATTTCAATTCTAAGGAAAACGCTTCTGAATAACTTGGACAAAACTGTTCTGAAGGACTGTATGAACGTCCTTCAGATGTTTTTGCAGATATGATGATTATTCTTAGTCATGTGAAATATACAAGTTTCATGTGATCCTAATTACCTTTCTTGCTTCCTAAGGTTTAAACTATGTACCTAATTTCTTTTCCTGCCTGAAAGGTGCTATTTTTTTTTTTTTTTTTAAAGAGTTATTCATGGGCTAGGATGGCCCTGAAGAAGAGCTACTATCTTTGTTCTATTTGCCACAAGAAAATCCTGATCAGGAATTTATAGTCAAAAGAGATCAGCTTTTCCAAACAATAGGTGATAAACTTTTTAGAAGGAAATGGTAGTTATTACCCTCAAAAGATGGGTTGGCTCAAGTAGAATGGTTACTGCCTGCCTGATGTTTGAAATAAATGAGAAGAAAGTGATTTTTAGATTATTTTATATATGAAGTTCTCCAAAAGAGGTGATCACTTAGGCAGTTTTGTAAATGTTGCTATATGCTACCATCTCTAAAATATTTACTGTCGCAAGGAACAAAATATTAATAGTACTGAGCCAGAGGCATACCCATTATGTGAGCTCCCTCTGACCAAAAAAGAACTATGCTGAACTTTAAGCTACCACTTTGTTAAAATGGGCAACTTAAAACTACCAAACTGTTGTGCAAATAGCAGCTGAAGAGTAAAGCTCACTATGGAAGCCCATCTGGACAAACGATTTTCATAAATACATAGATCAAATTGTATAAATCTGGCATAAATTGTATTTCATGATGCAGATGCTACCAGACCAATGAAGTCACAGGCTCAGAATGCGATAAACAGGATTTATAATCCACATTAGAACTGTCATCTAACCAACCAGTAGGGGAAGTTTTCTATTTGGAAATGAGTTTGAGCATTACAACTTGAAAGTCTCTAATTTAACTGACTTAAACATTATAATTTTAACTTAGGCAAGATACCTTATTGGACTGAATCACATTCAACTAACCTAAAATATATCAATAACTTGGTAATTAAAGATACCACATACCTTTGTCTTTCAGCTTTGTATGAGCTAGTAAGGTCATCGAAGAGCTTGCCATTCATTTCCATTAGGGTTTTCAGCACATTGTATACCAGTGCCACAATGGTCCTAAAATGAAAATAAGCAGTGTTGGGTCACAGGAAACGTAACATTATCATCCCTAAATGGTGGCTGATTCACTTAATCCACTTTAGAGATGATAAAGTACAAGAGGTTTAATAGTTTGCTCAAGGTCACATAGACAGTGGTGACAGAGATGATTCAAAATTCACATCTGTCTTCTATCATGCTTAAATTCTTAAAACGTTAGTTACCTTCATGTCTGCTCCACAGTCTACTGTCTCAAGCTAACAGTATTAAAAGATGAGAAAGAGCTACCTACCATAACTTGTAAGAAAAATAGAAAGTAGGATAAGGATGTTACTGAGGTTAGAATACATGCACAATCTGAACATTGCTAACATGACCTTAAGCACTTCAGGTTCTCCCTGGGAGAGTTCTAACCCGTAGAGGTTTGTGCATCCTCTGCAGATGCTGGGTTGGTCTCCCCAATGGGTTTGACCACACAGTTGTGCAGAATGTCACACTAGATAGTCCTACCTTCAGGAAGATTTGTAATTTTAAATTGAAACTAAGAGCTTTATAAAACTGTACCAAGTACACAAAAGAATAGAACTGTGCTAACCTTGGAATAAGCTCCAAATCTCTATAGGTTTCATGTATGAGTTAGATCGAAGGACAAAAAGCACAAGCACAAGAATAACACAATCAACATAAAAGACACTTACGGATTCCAGTGTTCTTTGGAGATTTTGTACAAACTGCCAAACATAATTGGCAGAATTTTATCAATGTTCTCCTCAATCAAACTAAGAATATATTCATTATTCCAGAAGTACAATGCCCTTTCTGCAACCTAAGAAGACATTTAGAAATGTCAAAACTAGAAGAGAAAAAAGAAATAGTATAAAAATGGCTTTACTGGAAATATCATACCTGAAAATGAGAACTGGATACACACTTGGATATCTGCTTAAAAAGGGGCTCTTCAATTTTTTTGAACTGTGTGGGTTCAATGACATCTAAGATTTCTTCAATTTCTCCTAAAAACATCACCTAGGTTAAAAAAATTTTCTTTTAAGAGACATAACATAAATTACACGGTGTTAACATAGAAAACTATAAATGAGAAGGTTAACTGGCAAATTACACAGTGGGCAAAATTAAGGTCTTGATTGTATATACATTTTACTATAATGTTCAGCTATCCCACCAAGTCTCTCTCAACCCCAAAAGACCACTTCTTGCTCAGCAGCAGTGACAATACAGCCAGCCCGAAGAAGATTTTTTTTTTTTTTAAGGTTTTTATTTGACAGAAGGGGTTTGAGGGAGCAGCAGAGGGAGAGAAGCAGGCTCCTTGCTGAACAGGCAGCCCGTTGCAGGGCTCGATCCCACAACCCTGGGCCCAAGGCAGGTGCTTAACCAACTGAGCCACCCAGGAGCCCCAAGAAGCATGGTTTATAATAAAGCCCTAAGATTAAGAAATTTTAATAAAGTTGTACTGTTTTTTTGAACAAAACCTACCTCTTTCTGACTGCATGTTTTTGGCCAAAATTTCAGCAACCCTCTGATCACCTGCAAAAAAGGAAAAGTTTAGCACAAATTAAGCAATGAAGTTTGTTAACCCCAGGAAATTTTTAGTAATTGTGATTATATCAATATTCATTCTGAGGTAGATCAGTATTATTTAATATTCAAGTGTATCCCCAGATTTTCTGCTCAGCTTTATACTTTTATAATAATCCAACAAATATTTATTACCTTTGTACCAGATACTATTCTAGAAGCTAGGAACACAGTGATGAACAAGACAGATGAGATCCCTGATTTTCCATTAAACACAGAAGTAATTTTATTTTATTTTTTATTAAAGATTTTATTTATTTGAGAGAGAATGAGAAAGAGAGCATATGAGAGGGGGGAGGGTCTGAGGGAGAAGCAGACTGCTTGCCGAGCAGGGAGCCCGATGCAGGACTCGATCTCGGGACTCCAGGATCATGACCCGAGCCGAAGGCAGTCGCTTAACCAACTGAGCCACCCAGGCGCCCAACACAGAAGTAATTTTAATAGTCAGTGCTACTTAAGAAAATAAAGGAAAATATAATGACTGGGTGGGGTGAGGGAGGGAAGTTATTTTAGGGAGAAACTAAGGAACAAAGAATTCCTGTTACTTAAAACCATTTGAAGCATGAGAAAGCTTCCCGCTTTATTTCATAGCTAGCACCATCTTGATAACCAAAATACAAGGAAGTGATCATGAATTTAAGTGAACACAGTTGCAAAAGTTTGTATTAAACTGAATGTTAACAGTGTATTAACAGAACACTACTACTTGCCCCCTTATGCCTTATTCCAGAAATTCGAGTTCAAGTCATTAGTTTTTAAGTTAAAAGGGAAAACTATATGATCATCTCAAAAGATTCTGAACAGTTATTTGATATGTTTGACTGACTATATATTCTGATAAAAATTAGTAAGCTAGAATGAAGAGAATTTCTCAGAAACCATCAGCAATCATCTTACATAATGATTTCTTCAAAATACGCTGCAACCATCAGGGCCTGGTACTTTTGTGGAAATACATTTTTGTTAAGAAACTGGAACTCTTAATTTTTTTTTAAAAAAGATTTTATGTGACAGAGTGCGCACAAGCAGGCGGAGTGTCAGGGAGAGGGAGAAGCAGGCTTCCTGCTCAGAAGGGAGCCCAACGCAGGGCTCGATCCCAGGACCTTGGGATCATGACCTGAGCTGAAGGTAGATGCTTAACCAACAGCCACCCAGGCGCCCCAAAAATATATCTTTGATAGCCTTTTAGGTTATTTTATAGTTGTAGTCCAGTTATATTTTATAGCCTGGTTTAGTAATAAATCCTCATTCAAATTAAAATTGGGAAGAACATTGTTCTGGAGACAATCCAGTAAGTTAAAAAGGATCTGATGAATAATCTCGGACAGGAATACCAGAATTATACTTATTTAAGTGTGTAAAAGTATATAATGATTAT